GAATAAGGAATTTTTCACAATTATTGAGTAGATTTGAGAGATGACAGGGATTTACTGCTGTGGAATATCAATTAAAATATAATTTTATCATTCTTAGATAAATGTGTATTTGGGATAAATGTCAGAATTAAATAAGAGTTTAAGAATACGAGTTTGAAATGGAGCTCAAAAGAAAATATTAAGCTTTTCTTCGAGCAGGTGTTATTTATTTTAAAATGCCTACATGTACCTATTACAAACATTTGAGTTGGCCTAGCCCTTCTAAATGTATGTGTTTTGGGCGCCTGGATGGCTCAGTTGGTTGAGCGACTGTCTTCGGCTCGGGTCATGATCCTGGAGTCCCGGGATCGAGTCCCACATCGGCCTCCCTGCTCGGCGGGGAGTTTGCTTCTCCCTCTGACCCTCTTCCCTCTCGTGCTCTCTGTCTCTCACTCTCTCTCTCTCTCTCTCAAATAGATAAATAAAATCTCAAAAAAAAATAAATGTTTGTGTTTTGATTCTTGGCAACCTGTGTCTTTCAAATTTGCAACAACATAGTCTAAAGAAAATAATGGCATTTCCTAATTGGTTAGATACATTTTTCATTTTCCCCAAATTTACCTCTTGTTCAGTTCTTGTCTACTTCTTGAATTTGGTTTAGTCTTCAGAATGTCTCCAGTCTTGTTTTTTGTTGTTGTTGTTTGTTTGTTTTTTTTTAATTTCTCAATTCCTCTGATATAAAAGATAGAGCATGAAAAGTAAGAGGCATACTTCTGTTAGCCCAGGCGATGGGAGTTTACTGGAAGAAAACATGGGTAGTCAGAAATTACTGGGAACCTTCCCAGCAGCCCCCATGTCATTCCCATTTCCCCTCCATCTCCTGGCATGGGATTTGCCAAGTGGCCTCTGAGGAAATTGAAACAGTGGCTCATCATTGTGCCACCTGAAGGAACAGCCACAGGCTCGGATCCTCTTTTCCTCTCAGGAGTGGTCGTCTTCAAATTGCTTTTGTCAGGAGCATGCACAGGGCCTGATCAGTCAGTGTTAGCCACAGCACATGGACATACAGCAGACAGCATCCCTTAGAGTCCCACCAACTGTCTAGCACAGATACAGATCCTCAAGCCACACGCTTAAGAGCACTAGCCTTCCTGCATGCAATCATGGGAAGCACTGAGATTCCAAGCAAATCTTGGGATTTTAGTGAACCACATGTTTTAACCAGAAAACGAATGAAGTGAAAGCTCAAACAGTTGCACCTGATTTTGGCTGTGTATTTTCATGATCTTCTTCATACGACTCCATGTAGCAACCTCAGTGACTTCACAACTCAGAACTGCCCACAAACAGTGATACTGAGTCAGTTCTTACCTGGAACTATATTTATAAGAAAACTTGTTTATTTGTTGATCATTGAAAATAATTTTAATTTACCAAGCATAACAATTTAATCACATACTTTGTGACAAAGTATTTTTAAATTAAAGTTTGTAAATATGTATCGAGTCCCTCCTATGTCAAAAACACTTTGATTGGCACTACAGGGGTACAAAGTTCATTTGTTCCAAAGATCTTTAGTAAGCCATACACTGCCTTGGGCTAGGTACCTGAAATATGATGTCAAATGATAAGTAAACAGAGATTTTCCTTGAAGGACTTTATTATTAGTACAGTTGAGGAGAAAGACATGCAAATAGAAAATTACAAAATAAGAGCATGGAAAAAGGGCACTGTAGATTACAAAGCCTTGGGTAGTCAGGGAAGCCTTTCTCAAGGCAGAGCCATGGAAACTGGGGCCAAATAATGAGTAGGAATTTGCCAAATAAAGCATGTTGTTGGAGGCTGAAGCGTTGATTCCAAGTAGAGGATAATTCACATGAAACCAAGAAAGAACGGATGGCAAGTACCTGTCATATTTGGCTAGGATCACAGAATGTCCTGTTCTACAGGCTGGTTTCCTGGAGAACGTCCATGCTGTGTGCATGCTAGAGTCTGGGCTTTATTCCATGGGTTCCCATTTTCCTGGTTCCATTTCTACCTTACTTGGTCTTTCAGACTTTCTTGCCTCTAAGTCACCAGTCAATATTGGTATTTCTCAGGGTTCAGTTTAGATTCTGTCTTTCCTTTGTTCTTCCTCTTCTCCCTCGCCAGATGTATCCATGTCTATGTATTTGTTTACTGCTTAAGAGCTCGATGGTTCTTAAGTCAGTTCTGAACTTAGGACCACACATCCCTATCACCGCCATCCTACCTACCATTTCAGTTTACTTAGGACCAGGCTCCTTGTTTGCTGCAACTGCCTTCCCTGACTCCTCTCAGTCTTAGAACCTGCCAAAGTCCTTTACCAGTGCACCCAGGGACTTCTGTTCCCTTAGCCTGAAGTGCTTTCACCTTCCCTTTGCCTAGCTATTGCCCATTCTTACTTCAGGTCTTGGCTTAAATATCACTTTTTCATGGATATCTTCCAGGTCTCTCCTAACCTCATGTTGTGATTAGTAATATGCTGCATTTTTATGCCCTAGTTTATAATTATTTTTTTTAAATACTGCTTTCCCCACTAGACTTTAAGCTCTCTGAAGGAAACAACAGTCTCTGTCTGTGTCAGCTTTGTTTTAAAACACTTAGCAAAGGATATGTACCTTGTAAGAGGTCTCCGTAAACATGATGAGCTGCGTGAGTTAGGACAATGAGGAGCCATTGAAGAACTTTAGTAGCAGAGTGACCCGATTGGATTGGCAATTAACAAGTTTATTCTGCTAGCAGTATGGAGACTGAATTGGAGGGGGTCCATGGCTAGAGCAAGAGAGATAAGTAGGTGGGTGTTACCACTAGACACTTAGAGCCTCAGAGCACATCTATGATAAAAACACAAAGAAATCAAATTCAGCTGATCCAGGAGCTCAGAGATATTCTCAGGACTTCTTCCATCTCTTAGCATGGCTTATTCCACGTGGACCTCATTTTCCCACAGTCTTTCTCTTTGTGAACAGTAGCAGCTTCATTCTACATCTGTCTAGTAGGAAAGAGGGTCCACTTTATGGTTATGTGAACAGATATCCAGACTGCCTCTCTGACTGGTTCTGATTAGGTCATGTGCCTTTCTCTGAAATGACTACTGTCACCAGAGGGGTTCTGGGTGCCGGTTGATGAGTCTGGATAATAACTATCGGATCTGAGGCAGTGGTACTGGCCCTAAAAATAATGTTGTTGTTGTTTTTTTTAAAAAAGCCCTATTTGTAGCAATTGCCAATTTCTTTGGTATCCAAGCTCTTACTGTGGCTGATTTCAAGATGGATGCCTGGCTTGCGGTTCCTGAATGTTTAACAACCCGCTCTTCCAAGCCAGTCCCCACAGCTCCAGCTCTCCATGGCTGAGCTGACGGCCGAGCTGCCAGAATCAGAAAGACTGATGGTGAGGGAGGCGGTGTGCTCTAAAAGGCAATCAGGATATTGTTAGAAGATAGGTAGGTGCCTGGTAGCCAGTCCCCAAGGAAACTTGCCCTGTACCATGCAAAATATACTTTGATGTCATGATTTTATTTTACCTAAGAATTTTTGAAAGTTCCTGTATCATTTCCTTGAATAACATTTGTAAGCACTATATAATATTCCATTCTAGGAAAATACTATCATTTACCATTCTTTCATTGTAGAATATTTAGATTGATAGAATTATATATAGTGCCTGCTGGATAGGTCTATGCCTGAAGCCATTTTCCACATTTAGGACAGAGCTGAGATACTTTACCTATGTGGAATTACTGAGTCAAAGGAATGGACATTTACTGCTTTTGAATACTTTCCAATAGGTGTACAAAATAATTTTACCAATTTATATCACTTCTATCACTGTGAGAGAGAGCAAGTATTTCATCGCACTGTTATTAAGTGTAATTTAAAAAAATTAGAAGGATAGAATTAATACGTCATTTTAATTTGCATTTGTTTGAATTACTAAAAATGTTGAAATGTCTATATTTTTGTAACAAGTGTATTTCTTACAGTGAATTTTCTTACCATTTCCCACTGTGTTATGCGTATATGTTGCTTTTATTATACTATTATGGGTATTTATCTTCTTATAATTAATTAATATAATTAGTGGAATAATTATATGATTAATAGTGGAAATTCTAGCACATAGCACAACTTGGTAAATGTTGAGGGGAGTGTTGTGTATGAAATTCTCCCTAATTCTGTGTAATTTCGGGTAACGTTAGCTGCCTTAATAGATAAATACAAATTCACAGTATGTAAACACAAAGTTTATTTCTTGCTCATGTCCAAGTTCCATGTGGGTATTCTTATTTGGGCAGCTTTCATGTGGTCATGAAGGGACAAAGGCTCCTTCTGTCCCAAGGCTTTTCTCCCCTCTGGATCCTTGTCATTTCTATTCAGTGGGAGGGTGGCATTAGAGAATGGGGAACAATATGTGGGAGGTCTTTATGGACTAGGCCTGAAAGTGCAATATTGAATGTGCTTACATTCCATTGACTAAAACTCAATCCCATGGACACAACTAATTGCAAAGGAAAAAAGAAAAAGAATCTGGTATACATCTAACCAGTCTTTGCCAAAATTTCCATAACCTGAAATAAATCTTTTCATAAAGGCTGATTCTACTTACTGCTTTTACTACCTGTATATATCTGGGAATAAACTGACCATATTACTTGGATAAATTACAGGATATAAGTATGGAATGGAACATTTTACATGTTGTTAAGAGATATGTAGCTTTTTAAGAGACCAGAATGGTAAAGCAATGACGTCGAATGGTCATTGAACGTCCTCTCATCTAGACACTGAAGAGAAGAGGGTGGAAGTTACTGGACAAAGTGATTTTGACAGGTGATAAACAAGTCTTAGATAGGCAACATTTATTCAGTGTTTTAGAAAATTTAATGTATAAGATTCCATATAAAGACTCTGTAATCAGCTCAACCAATAAGTTTGATGACTTACTAGAATGATATTTTTAATAGGATATGTTAGCTCATTTTCTTATTTCTACCTACACAGGTAATTAAAGTATACAGTGAAGATGAAACCAGCAGGGCTTTAGAGGTACCCAGTGACATAACTGCCCGAGATGTTTGCCAGCTGTTGATCCTGAAGAATCATTACATTGATGACCACAGCTGGACCCTTTTTGAGCATCTGCCTCACATAGGTCTAGGTAAGGATACAGAACCATAGTCCACATCATTGCTTTTCTGTTTGTTATAGTTTCATTATATGGCAAAGATTTTCTTCAGACATAGAAAAATAGAAGAGAATTATGAATAGCCCTTTTCTTTATTTTGGTGTTGGTAGTTGGGAGAAGAATGTAACACAAAATGAAAGTAAGGGTAGAAATATTACACATTTCCCATACTTCTTTGTTTAAATAATGCGCTATGAGAATTTGGGAGCCAAAACATAGAGTCCAAATTGATAGATGGATTTTGTAATAATCTTTGGTAGCACAAGCAACATTTTTTTTTGAGAAGTTAATAAAACAAGCTGTTATTTGAACTACTTTTTGAATTGGTTGTCATGCAGACATGGGAAGTATCCACACTGGTTCTCTTTAGGGGTGTGTGTACCCTAAAATTTTCTTGAAGAATTAATTAACTCCTCTATATTTTAAAGTCATAAACATAAAGAGTATTCTTTCAAAACATTTTTTTCAAAGATTTTATTTATGTATTTGACAGAGAGAGACACAGCAAGAGAGGGAACACAAACGGGGGGAGTGGGAGAGGGAGAAGCAGGCTTCCTGCCGACAGGGATCCCGATGTGGGGCTCGATCCCAGACCCTGGGATCATGACCTGAGCCGAAGGCAGACGCTTAACAACTGAACCACCCAGGCGCCCCTCAAAACATATTTTTTTAAATGCATTTTTTTAAATGCATCTCTGTGTTGTAAAATGTAGAGGGTTTTTCCCCCAATTTTCTTTAATAAGGTATAAATGATTTTCGTCCTTCTACTAGAGTGCGACAGAATTCGGCACCAGTTTTCTTTCACCTTTTCTTATTTTTACAGATATGAGTGTAAAAAAAATATGTTCCCATAATAAGTAATGAAAAGGAAAGGACTTTGTGATGGTAATGCCATTCGATTCTTTGAATTCCATATGTGTTTCCTGTGGCTGCTGTAACAAAGGACCACAAACCTGGGGGCTTACAACAACGAAAATTGATTGTTTCACACTTCTGGAGGCCAGAAGTCTGAAATCAGTATCCCTTGGTTGAAATCAAGGCATTGCAGGGATGCACTTCCTCTGGAGGTTCCAGGAGAGAGTCTGATCCTTGTCTCTTGCAGCTTCTGGGGCCGCTGACATTCCTTGGCTCTGGCAGCCTCACTTCAGTCCCTCCCTCTGTGGTCACACTGGATTTCCGTCTTCTGTCTGTGTCAAGTCACCCTCTGCCTCTCTCTTATAAAAATGGTACCGGTTAGAGTTTACCCGGATAATCCAGGATAAGCTCTTCATTTCAAGATCCCTTAATCATATCTGCAAAATCCTTTTTTTTCCCCCTTCTTATCAAGTAACATTCACAGAAAACCTAAATTCTTGAAGATGTGCCATTACCCACCAGTGTGATATGCCGTCTCGCCTTCCTAGGGCAGAAAATGCTCCACATATATTTTCTGCATTGCTGTTTGTCACTAATTTAACTTCTATTCATGACCATTCATCTCCTAAAAGTATAGCGTTAACTCTCAATAGATAGCTGCCATATTCTAAACTAGTTTTACATATGCTTGTGAGACCACAGCTCTTAATTAGCATAATATGTAATTACAGTATTTTATACCCTTAATCTTTTTCTTTTGGAGCAGCTTTACATTTTTTTGGTTATAGTCACTACAGTTTATCACTAACAAATAGCTTGAAGTTTAATAATAAAAATCTACTCTGTAAATCAAGTACCATTTTTTACAGAGACCACAGCAAGTTACATTAAGGAGTAAAGTGCACAGGTTCTTTTAATGTGGAGGCTTAAAGTGGAACATGGAGAATTAATTTGAGTTACATACTAAATTTAAACTTTTAGGCATCAAATAGAAGTGTATTTCTCCATTACTGTATTTTCTGGAAATGCTGAAATAAAATCAAAGATGTGAGAATATTGTCTCCTGGCTTCATCAACCATGCATTTAGACCAAAGGTTATGAGAAGGAAATTGAGTTCCACAGCTTTCTTGTGTTCTTTTTCTTTCCTTTTGTTTTCACTCGGATTATATCTCTTTTTAAAGAGATTTAATTTATTTGATAGAGAGAGCATGAGCCTGTGCACACGTGAGTGGGGGAAGGGCAAAGGTGGGGGGACAAGCAGACTGCACTGAGCATGGAGCCGCTGTGGGGCTCAGTCCCAGGGCCGCCTCACGGACTGAGCCACCCAGGCGCTCCTCAGATGATATCTTTAAACAGTAGAAAAATTGCTGACATAGTGCTATCCAAATACTAATGCGTATTAGATTTACCAGCTTCCATTTCTTTTATTTATTTATTAGCTGCTTTATTTCTGTAAGGATACACTGAAATGTTAGATGATGATAGCTAATGAATATCTCTGTTTTCCTTACTTATTTTTATTTAATTTCTCTGTTTTAACATAATCTGTTTTTACTTTTGTAGACTACCTTCTTTGTGTGTGTGTGCACCTAAAAATACATCTTGAGGATTTTTTTTCTTTCACTTTATAGATTCCACAAAAACTAAGAACTCTTCCTGCCTTTTCCTGTTGACTTCCTCACACAGTTTAGCAGATATTTACTGACTGTTTTATACCAAGCCTATTTTGTTTGTGGATCTTGGGGGTACAGTGTGAACATAATAGACAAAAAACACTGCCCTTGCGAGTTTGCATACTTCTCGGAAGAGAAAGATACGAGACACATGACTAAAATCTGTAATCCCTTAGGTGATGATAAGTATGGTTTCTCCTGCTCTCTGAAAGTAGAGCACGCCTATGAAAACTTTCGTAAGCTGAAATGGTGTAAAGCAAAGAGGCACTTACCATTAATTTATATGGGAAAATATTTGAGCATTCCCAGACCCCAGAAATAACCTCTCTTAGCATTTTCGGGTATCTTAGGACACATCTTGCCAATAGATGCACAAAATAAATCAAGATAAAGCACAGATGCTCACAGACAAAATTTAAAGCTGCGGTGGCTTGTTGCTTGAGAGGCTGAGTGTGGTTCCCTGGAAGGAGCTTGGCAGGACCACTCTCACTGCGGCTCCGTGGTGCACGCGGCCTTTATAAGGGCTCACTGCAAAACAAACGCTGAATGGTATTTTCACTTTTCACCTTTTTTGTAAAAACAAAAATCCTCTTTGGATTTTTTTTTTTTTAAAGATTTTATTTGAGAGAGCATGAAAGTGAGATTGAGAGAACAAATGCGGGGGGAGAGACAGAGGGAGAAGCAGACTCCCCACTGAGCAGGGAGCCTGACGCGGGACTCGATCCCAGGACCCCGGGATCATGACCCGAGCTGAAGGCAGCCGTTTAACCAACTGAGCCACCCAACCCCCCCTTCCCCTTTGGAATTCTGTTGGTTGGCAAAAACAGATACTAATGTAGGTCTTTTGTAAAAGCAAAGGAGTGTAATGTGAACTTTTGAAAAGTTGGAGTTGCCTATATTGGGGAGAAAAGGAAGGCAGGGCAGAAGAGGGAAAGAGCATGCTAGGGGTGAGTGAGAGATGCACTTTAACTAGAGGGATCAGGGAAGGTGTCCCTGAAGCATGATATGGAGGAAAATCTTTGTGGCAGCGTGCTTGTGTTCAGGCCACAGCCCGAGGCCAGCGCTTCTGGAGTAAGGTGGGGGGTGATGGAGTGGACTTCAGTAGGGCTACTGCAGAACCAGCTTGTGTAGGGTCTCAGAGGCCCCAGAGGGCCTTGACTTTTACACTGAGTAAGAGAGAAAGTGAACGGAGGTCTTTGAGTCAGAGAGCAATATGATCCTGATTTAGTTTTGTAAGTACAGTTGACCCTTGAATAACATGGGTTTGAACTCCGTGGATCCACTTATATGTGTGTTTTTTTTTTTAATAAATTCCATCCAGTACTATAAATTTATTTTCTCTTCCTTATAATTTTCTTGATAACATTTCTTTTCTCTAGCTTACTTTTGTAAGAATATAGTATCTAGTACATGTAATGTCACAATATGTATCAATCGGCTGTGTATGTCATCAGTAAGCCTTCCGGTCGACAGTAGGCTATTTACTAGTAGTTAAGTTCTAGGGGAGTCAAAATTTCACACAGAATTTTGGCTGCAAGGGGAGGTCTGCACCCCTATGCTTCACATTGTTCAAGAGTCAACTGTATACTACTCAGAAGGCCAGAATTCAAACTTTTAGAGGCTAAGCAACTTTGTTTTGCTTCTATATCCAACTACCTGTGGCTTCCTGGATCAATCCTGGCCAGTATGTCATTTCTCCTAGTTGCACATGCCCTGTTGGACCATCTTCACAGGAGAGTCTACCCTGGTATGAGGTGTGGTATTTGTGAGACCCTGAAGCCTGCTAGGCGAGAACATTGTGACTTGTGGGATAGATGAGAGTTGAGGGTTTTCTGCACTTGAGGTCACATTCGTGACCACGATAAGCTTAGGAAGGTGTCAGAGACATTTTATGTTGTTAATAAATGTGCTACCATTGTTGCTTTTGATCCCTTAAAACACGTCACAAATTTACTAAAGTCAGATGGAGGAACATGTGACATTCAAAATATGGTAGGTTTATGGAATCGAAAGTCTGTTTTCAGAGTGACATTTTCTGTGGCAAAGGAAACTTCAGTCTTAGTAGTAGTTTTAATATGAATGTATGTGTCATAGCTACTGTTAATGCGCATCTTACATGTGCAAGGCATGGAGTGAGAGGTTGAACATTAATCTTGATAGACTTTCTCATCCCTTAGCCTCACAGCAACCCTGCAAGATGTGTTTTCTAATCTCCCTTTGACATACAGGAATACAAAGACTCGGTGATGAAATTCCTTGCCTAGAGTCAAGCATTGCTCAAATGTAGGTCCTTTCAGAGTCTAAAGTCTGCATTTTCCACTGAAGTGAGTTTTTTCTCATGTTCCTGGGATCCCGTAGTTGGTTTGTCTCTTTCTCACTCTCCATCTTTGTCTCTCATCTGTGGTGTGAGAACAAGTTAAAATTTTGAACCCTCAAAAATATTT